TTTTCTTACATATAGGAAAAGTCAAGGTCCTAATGTATGTAAATGAACTCAAAAGCTGCATTTGCCCTGCTGTTTCTAGGCAGCCACAGCCGAGTCATTTCAAACCTTAAATGAGGAGTGAATAGTGATGAATGCATTTATGAATATCCTCGTTTGAAAACAAATGGCACCACAGTTCCAGGGATCTAAAATATAAAGTTAGTAGCAAAAAAGAGCTGCTCCAAAATCCATACTCTGTAAAATCCTCATCACTCATGAGGAGAATGATAGAACTATAGATCATGGGCAATTATGCTCCGAAGAAATGTTTTGAGCCAGCTGCATTCCTGAGTCCCTCTTAAAATAAAGATAAAAATATAGGAATATAAAACCATAGCCAAATTGCCTCATCATGCTGCCATATTTTTGTAAATGGGATTTATAACAATAGGATCATACAATCAGCTCATTTGCATGAAAAATATTGTGACTACCAATGTTCAGATTTAAGGAAACTGAATTATTTCCAGGATGCAAACTATGTGTCTTTCAGAGAAAGAGAATACAGGACATGACTTAGAGAAAAACCTTCTTCCATCATGTGATATTATCTGTGGTGACATCCATATGACATCATCTAAGGGTGCTCCTTGGGGAGACTTCCTCAAAGCTTTTTTTCTCATCACCATTTAGTGTCCACAGACAGCAAGGAGATGCACCAAGTATATAGATTGGGAAATATGGATTTATTCTCATTATAAGATAAGCACCAAATATCCATATTGATATGTAGACATAGAAATAAATCACTGTAAATCCTAAAGGAATTTTTTTTTTTTTTTGCAAATCTTTTTCCTGCATTCCCTCACTATCAAATCAGCAATTGTGAGATGGACTCATTCACAATGTTTATTTTGATGGAGGCAGGAATTAAACTCCAAAATGGGTGCCCTTATGGAAATCTAACAAATGTTGCAAACTAAGGATGAGGGAAACATAGTATAAATGAGGTAATGTCTTGTCTTCTCTTCCTGTCACCTACTGACCCTGGCCTCAGACTATAAGCACTACTTTCTCTATAGATGAACTAATCCCATCAAATAGAACAGGCCCAAGACAAACAGATGAAGCCCTGTTTTAAATACTTTTTGCTTATGCTATCTACTCTGAAATACTTTTACACATCCTTCAAGCTGATCTTTTTTTATTAAAAAAAAAAAAAAGTTAAATAAAACTGCTATAAAAATAGGGAAGTTACCCTTGTTCATATTATTTCCAAAGAAAAAATATATTTATGGAGGGGAGTTCTAATTCAAGTTGATTAATTCAAAATTTTCATGCACAGTATAAACCACGAGAATATTAGCTAGTATTTGTTAAGAAAATAATATACGCTAGGTATTTATTCTAACACTTTTGAATGTGTTATTTAATTCTCATCCTAACCCTGTGTGTGATATTCTTTTCATACCCATTTTCCCATAAGAAAATGAGGCATGGTTTATTTAAAGTCACAAACCAAGGCAGTCTGTTTTCAGAGCTGATGCCCTCACTTACATTAATGGGCAAACAGGGGAATATGAGGCTTGGAGCCCTTCCTTACTGGCATAAAACTACTTTAAAAAATTATTCTGTTATTGTAGTCTCTAAAATTCCAGGGAGGAGAAAACTGTCTTAAGATATCAATGCTTCTGTTAGTGGGTTTTTAGACTCCAGAAGTAAAACTTGATGTATTCAAGGCCCAGAATCTATTTGTATATAACATAAAAACTCCAGCCCTTTGCATATCCTTCCTTTGGAAAGCTTCCACATTTATAAACAAGCATACACCAGAATTCATCATGTCTTTGAAGCTGGTCTGTTGAAAACAAGACCGTGTATCATAGTCAGACGTCATTTGGGCCATCCTTTGCTGGTTGGGTACATTGGCAATGAAAGATCTGAAGGCATAAACTTGGCAGCAGCTTCAAAATATCCAGTTGGTCCTGGAACGATAACATGCTCATTATGTGCATTTATTGTGCCTGGGCTCCCCGCTGTCCAAATCTACCCAGAGTCTCCAATCAAGAAGCATTGATAAGAGCAATGCTAACATGATATGACTGGGGACAATACAGCGTGACATGACCCGAGGTGATGAGAAAAACATGTGTGGTTTCCTGACCACCTCCTCCCCTTCTCTGCCATGTATTTTAATACATATTACATCCCTGTCTTGGCAGACACAGACAGAGAAGCCAAAAGATATGTATGAAACTGCATCCATCAACACCACCAATGGACCTTCTGGAATGCTGTCACCTTACAGATTGGCTTGTACCCACTGTCTGTGCACACCACACTCTGTCACTAGATTTAGTTCTACAGGGAAGCAAGGTATCTCCCCAGAACCCAGATCACTTCCACAAAGACCTACTGGAATACTGGCTAGGAAGTAAAGAGTCATCCAAGTTGGCATTTGCTTCATTAAGAGGGAAAGGCGGCAAAAGAACCAAATTAGACTTTAAGCCATGACTAGAATATAGAGGAAATAAACATTTAAAATAAGCCAAATCTATATATTTCTGGTTGCCAAGCAACCTTCCAAAGCAGTTGAAGTGCACCCATTTCTGGCCCCAAAACACAAAGGCTCAGAAGCCCACTTTTAAGTAGATACTTTATTTTGTATTCAGAATGATTGTTTATCCTTTATGCAATACCTGAATTTGCAGTAAACTGCATGAGACTACAGCTGAACAACACACTGGTGTCCTAAATATAGGAAATTCTCAATCTACACTATTGTATCCAGGAAATAATTCCATAATTTCCTGTAAGAATTTTTGATCAACCTAGATATTAGGGAAATGCCTTAAAATTAATAAAAGTATTTTCTCTTCATTAAACATAAATAATTGCCTATCTTCTTCAGAGAGCATTCTGTATGTAGATGTTTAAATTGTTCACCCAAAATTCATGGACAAAATTCATATTCAACACTAAGATCCAACTGAACATAATTTAATACATTGATTGAGGATAAAGAAGCTTATTTTGAGATATTCCTGAAACTCAAGAATTTCATTATGATTTCAACTTGTATTGCATGAAAGAAATGTAAACATGACAATTGACAGATGACCTAAGAATGTGGTACAACTGGGCAGTGTCTGTACTGGCAGTTTGGAGACAGTATTTCCCAACCAGTCTTCTCACTTCGGAAAGGGCAAAAAAAGAACACATTATGAACTCTTCTCACTTCAAGTAGTCTACAAACAAGGAGGGTTACTTCTGGATGCATGCTGTTACCCCATGTATCCTATAAAAACATACTCAAATATCAAGATCAAGGCCAACCTGAATTTTAAATCCCATGGTGGTAATCTGGGATAAGACAGGGTTTCTCTTTAGGCTGATGAATTAGATTTTTTTTCTCCTTAAAAAGAAAATCGTAATTGTCTTTTAGCAGAGAGATAAAGGCAAAAGACATAAAGTAATCAACTTAAATGGGTTTTCATTTTTAAAAAATGTGCTGGGTCAACAGAATTACTGAAGAACAAGTTATGTGAAATTTAGTTATAAATGAAGGAAGAAACCAATAAGATAAAGGTATCACATTAATGAAAACAATTATTAAATTCCTGCCCATTTTGATGTTTTCTCTGATAATTAATATTTCCTTCTTCATAAGATGATATAATCTGTAGGTAAATTTGTAAAGAAATTTAAAAATAAAATATGGTTTGAGGGAAAGAAAGAGGGAAGAAGAAAAGGGAAGAGAGAAGAGAAGCTGAGACAGAAAATGTAGAAAGGAAAGTTTAAAAAGTGGCATTTTTAGAACAGCTTCCAGGACTTGAATTAGGTATGGCTTTAATTTTTTTTCCACCAAGTCTTAGTCTTGGCAGGTTTCTGGAAAAAAAAAATGCAGGAATTTCATGGATGTGGGAACTGGTGATGGAAAATGCATTATTTTCAACACAACAATTGTTGTACTTGAGAGAAACTATATGGGAAAAAAATAATACCCTAGAATAAATACAAATGAAATTCATGTATCAAAACCAATACTGTGAAAATAGTTTAAATGTTTCTTGAATTTATATCTAGTCATTAACCTAAATGCAGATTTTAGTTCAAGCCACACTTCTGCCTCATGGTCAGAAGGCCTGAAAACCTGTGGCGTGGAAAATTGGCAGGAAGGAGAATATTGAATTGGTCTCCACGGAAAAACAGATTTTGGCAGCCATAACCTCCTCCCTGGCAGGTCTCTCTCCCCCTCTCTCTTCCTTCCTCCCTGTTTCAATCTTGTCCCAGGAAAGAGGCTGAGGAAAGACCTATAACAGCTACAACAGCAAGCAGCTGTCAATCTGACCATTCATCAAACAACCTTTCTCATTGGCTTTGCATCCTATGGTTAGGGTAAAGCCCCAAAAATGTCCCAGCCCTAGACTCACCCTCTGGAGCACGGAGGCCGTAGATTTCCATTTCTACTGGCTTTGGTTTCCTTCTCCCCTCAATCAAGGAAGCGAGGTGGATCACTTGCCTCACCCAACGTCCCTGAAACAAACTGTAATTCACAAATGGAAATGACGAATTCATTCGCAGAAATCCTAAAAATCTATTCCTCTCTTTCCCCAATCCCCATCCTGTTTTACTCCTCTATTCTGTCTGGTTTCCTCAGGAAAAGCAGACATTTCCTCAGAGTTTTATTTAATCTAGAGGACTTCTCCAAACTCATTTCTCCACCCGGGAAGACCCTAACAGCCCAGCTTACCCCTGAAGTTCAAGCTCATTCCCTCCTAGGCTAGCCCTAAACCCAGGCTCCATTAAGCTGCGCAAGATTTTCCGTCCAGCCTCGTTTCCATCATACCCCCAACCCCAGAGCTTCCAGGAGGAATGTTCGCCACACCCCTCCGGTGGGTTCCAGGCCCTATGCATGAGCGAATTGAGGTGAGAACTACCTCCCCCAAGTCAATGTTGTGTCCGTGTGCTGTGCCTGTGCCTCTCAGTGGTTTTCACAGTGATCTTTTCTCTCTTTGCAGCTGGTTAATAATCCACTAGCAAGTCAGGCTGCCGCGGCTGCAGCAGCCATGAGCTCCATAGCAAGCTCACAGGCCTTTGGCAATGCTCTCTCCAGTCTTCAGGGGGTCACAGGTCAACTAGTTACTAATGCACAAGGACAGGTGAGTGGGAGATGGGAACAAGAGTGCATTTTTATGGCAGATTGAACTCGGAAAGGAAATGAATTTCTTTTGCATGACAGTGATATGTAACCGCATCTATTCGAGGCATATAAATAATGTTTACTAGCAATGTCAAGAATAGAAGAAGGGTTGGGAGGTGTTTCTATATTTTAGAAGCAAGGTTTTTTTTTCTTTCCTACCTCTAGATTGTCAAAGTTTTATTTTGTTTTTATCTCTGTGCTATGACTCATGTTATGATCTTATATGAAGAAGTTACTTTTCATTACAGGGGCATTCTTTAAAAAAGAAAAGTTACATTTTAAAAATAAAATGTCAGTTTTGCTTTTTTTACTTTTCACTTAAAGAAAAACTTGGATAAGGAGAGAAACTGATCAGTTTCCTTCCCTAATTGCTGTGAGATATCTAAATTAGTCGTAACAAAGCCAATGTCTGAATGTGTGGGAAGGTGATGAAGAGGTCTTATAAAAGCAACAAAGAAAAGGGGTGCATTAGAATAAAGCCAATTGCAAGTCAGTCCCATGGTCCCGGCCTCCTGCCAATTCCCACAGAGGCCGGGCAGCCTCTGGCATGCTTGTTGATTTACTTCGGTATGTCAGGAGCAGTAAACCTTCCTCATGTCAGGAGAGAGGGTCTGTCCCCTTACACTGCTAATGTGCCCACGTATCACCAAGACACTGGCAGAGCTTCAGATGACCCAATAAACCCCAGAGCTGCGTAGAAAGCAAACAAGATGAAGCTGATGATGTCAGAGGAAGCTTCCGTCCGAAGGCCTGACTCAGAGTGGTTAGGATCCTGTGTGACTGTTTAGGATCGTGAAATCAAAGGGAGAGGAGCTAGTATTCTTACAAAGGTTTTCTTCCCCCAGCCTTATTTATTTGCCAGCAGTGTGTTCACATACTCCCTGCTTGGCCTGCTCTGTGGAGAGCAGGAATTTTGATGTCTTGAACGCTGTTTTTATTTTACATAAAGAGTAAACAAAGATGCATTATAAAGCTAAATCGTCTCCGTCTACGTCCCAGGGAAAAAAAAGCTGACCTTGTTTGATTTCCTGGGCGGGTGCAGGATTGTCCCGTCAGAACCCCGAGGGCTGAACGATGGAGCTTGTCAAAGAGAGGCCCCATGTAATGAATCATCTTATCACAGGTGCACACCACACATATTAAAGGAGGGTTGTATGAACACTGTGCCCTCTACAGTAACCTTTCAATGTCTGCTTTAACCCTTGTTCCAATCCCTTTTCATCAAAGGATCATTTTATGCAGCTGGCTTTAAATGGAGGCTCTCAAAAGCCTATTAAGATTTCTGGAAGGACGGGGTATCGTTGTGGAGGAAAAGTTGGCTTTAATATCTATAACTCATACTCACATCAGGTCACCGCTTCCTAGAGCTGTGCCCAGAAATAGGACACCCTGCCTCACTCCTGCCAGGCAGTTGGTCCTTGAGATGTAAATTTTAGGAGTTCAAGATAAGAAACCATATCCACTGACAGGTATTTCCTCTGATTTTTCTGTTCCTACATCTAAGTAAAATACACTGCGATGCTCCACCACGTGAACATTTGCGATGCAAAAAATTCATTATATAGAAGGGATTATTAGGAATTTATTCTTCTGATGATTTAAAGGCTGATTGCTTTGCCAGTTAGATATTCTCAGGGGCTAGAGTTACCACCTTTGCTTTTTTGGCCTTTGCCAAACCCCAGGGATAGCTCTCCCAGCCCACAAGTTTCCCTTAGATAATGATCTTCCAAGTAGAAGATTGGTTGGTATTGTGCATACATTGAATAAGAGTTGACTTTAAAGTATCTTATTTTAGAAACTGTGGTATGATCGTTTATTTGATGTGGTACACAAACCTCCTAAAGTGGAAAAAAATTACATTCGCAGAGAAATCAATAATGCCCACTCATGAAATCTTGTCTAAGTTTTAACATATGTGCTCAGTGGGGTCATGTCTTCCATGTAGTGCTGAAAGAGTTCAAGAGTTAAAATACTCAAACTTCCAGTGGATAATTGACCATATTCATGCAGCGATATGGCTGGGCTTTTTGGTTTTTTTTTTTTTTTTGCTCCTGATGTTTAGAATATAAACATGGTTATCAACCCAGGAAAAGGTGCAGGTCCTGCATCTGTTGGCACAGAGATACTTTTGTGGGCCTGTGCAGTGAAATGAACAGCCTTTGGTCAAATTACACCAAAAGAGGCAAAAATTATGTGTTTTTGGTTTTCTGTGTTTGTGCATATTCCTTTGGTTTAGGTTAATGTGGCACAAAAGGTAGCAATACATTGGAACCAGATTCTTACAATTAGCCTTGCTCAAAATACCATTTAAAATAGGATTACTCCACCAAACCCACATTCAGTTCCTTAAAAATCTCCGTAGCACTTTTCCCAGAAAAGATACAAAGAGAAACTCTGAATATATTTAAAGACTCTTTCATCTGAGGTCTTTACATCAACTATTGTTTACATTTGGAAGTTCATCCAGGAGTTATCACATTAAAATCTAAACCTAAGTGTGAAAAGCATGTTTTACTCTACTGAGAGTTTCGTGAGGTTAGGTCTGTTCAGAAGGCATGGGGTGAGATGGGAGTCCTATTATCAGAAATGTTCTGATCCTTGCTCCCTTCCTGCTGGATTCTTCTGGCTACCCGAAAACAAAAGACAAGATTGGCCAGTAGTTAAGACTTTGGATTCAGAACCACCTAGGATTGGGTTTAGGCTCCACCTCTTTCTAGTTTTATGATCTTGGAACCATGACTTAACCTACCTAAGTCACAGCTTCTTTCTTTCTTTCTTTCTTTTTAATTGTATTTTAGCTTCTGGGGTACATGTGCGGATCATGTAAGATTGTTGCATTGGTACATTCATGGCAATGTGGTTTGCTGCCTCCATCCCCCCATCACCTATACCTGACATTTCTCCCCACGTTATCCCTCCCCACGCACCCTCCCACTGTCCCTCCCCTAGCACACCCCCTCCAACGGATCCCAGTGTGTGATGCATCACTCCCTGTGTCCATGTGTTATCACTGTTCATCACCCACCTATGGGTGAGAACATGCGGTGTTTGCTTTTCTGTTCTTGTGTCAGTTTGCTGAGAATGATGGTTTCCAGACGTTCAAATAGAACCTATATGAGGCAGCCGTAAGACATACCCACTGTCTCACAGGGCCCACAGCCTGTGCCACTGGTGCACATTTGCAGTGCAAGCAGTCTTAAGGCTGCCTCCTCAGCTGGGCAGATGCCCACCCCACCTGGGGAGACATGCCAGAATCTTCTTCAGGCTCTTGGCCCTCAACTTTCAGCAGAAAGAAATCCCCCTACCTGGGACTTGGCAGTTTTGCTTCCCTATCTTGGCATCTGTGTTTCTATTAACTGGATATCAGTAAACTTAAAGAGATAGGAAGTCTCCATATATTGAAGATTTTTTTTCTTGTTCCTTTTTTTCCCCAACCAGTAGTTATTATGAGCAAACATGGAGGAAACGCTTTAGTCATTTTTATAACTTTCTAACCGCACCCATTCATGTGCCATTAATTCAAAGAACAGACACTATTCAATAGAGTTACAAATTTTAACAGAAATACTACATTCTAAAGTCAGAGTAGAGGACAGTCATGGTGGCTCAGGCCTGTAATCACAGCTCTGTGGGAAGCCAAGGCAGGCTGATCACTCCAGTCCAGGGGTTCAAGACCAGCCTAGACAACATGGCGAAACCTTGCCTCTAGGAAAGATACAAAAAATTAGCTGGGGCTGGTGGCAAGGATCTGTAGTCCCAGCTACTTGGGAGGTGGAGGTTGCAGTAAGTCAAGATTGTGCCACTGCAGTCCAGCCTGGGTGACAGAGTGAGACCCTGTCTCCAAAATAAATAAATAAAATCATAAAGTACATATCTTACCAGAGATGTTAAAGGTTCTAAAATTTTATCATACCCAGCTTCACTCTGAAGTGGGAAGGTAGCATGTCTCCTCCTGAAATTAGTAGTCATGAAATTAACATGACTATGGCATTGCTGAGAAAAGCATCCTAGTTCTCTGTTTACTGGATCTGGAAATCATGCAAGTGTGGCAGGTGGACAATGGAATGCGTGCTAGCTGTGGACTTGTCTGAATTTCAGGTTGGCCCATAACTGGCTCTGTGACTTTGGGTAAATTACTTGAGCTCTCTGAGCCTCAGTTTTACCAATTATAAAGTAAGGGCAATAAAATCTAAGCTCCTAGGCTGTAAACATTAAATAAGATAATGTGTGGAAAAAGCCTACCACAGTGCCTGAGTACACAGGCAACCTCAACAAATGGTTGCATAATTATCATCATCATCATTGTTATGAATTTTGCCTCATATTTTCTGGAAACCTATATTTGATCTGGACATGCAGCAAGAGGCAGCACAGTGAACAGGCAAAAAGAAAGGGTTCTGGAGCCAGACTGCCATCCACCAACTGTGAGACTGGGCAATTTCCTTATTCTGTGCTTCAATTTCTTCATCTGAAAAATGGAAATAATAATAACACCAGGTCCTAGGATTAAAGTGCTTAGGACGGCATCAGGCATATAATCATCAGTCAATAATACTATCACCCAATAAATGCTGTCTGTTTTAATCAAGATGGTATATGATTTCAGTTCATAACTGTGCACAAAAACCCATGCTGAAGTCTGTGTAGTGTGAGGAGTTTGAGAATGTGAAAATCTTAGTAGTAGGACATTAAGTTATTTTAAGGAAATCTTACCCTTATCTTGGATAGTTCAGTAGGGAGGAGGGAAAGTGTGAGTGTATATACGTGCTCCTAACACTTATTCAGTGGGTATGTTCAAGATTTGGCAAGTAGATTTACCATCGACTTGTTCAGCTGTAGAATTGGCTTCCCTGGTGCCCCTGGCAATATCTCCTTATTGGCATTATTGCAGAAAAGTAAAAGCAAATGAAATTTTATTTTATCCTGGGGCTAAAGAAAGCATTCTCTACATTTTAACTG